AAGAATGAAGTCATTTATTAGAAAATGCTGATGCACTTTTCTCTCTAATATATATTCTTGCATATGAAACGACAAGAAAAATGTCATATTTTTATACTATAAGAATGAAGTCGTTTATTAGAAAATGTTGTTGTACTTTTCTCTCCAATAATAATATTATTGCATATGAAATGATAAGAAAAATGTCATATTAACTGAAAAACTAAAGAAAAATCATCGATTCATTGTAGCATTACTATTTGAAATATTGTTCACACTCTCACATTTCATTGTGCGTTTCACTATTCATGGCTTTTTTTACACTTTGGTCTCCGATATTTTCGAAAGCACATTTCGATCCACATGTTCATTTGCTCATCCATTTTGATCCATGTGTGGAGAGAGAAAGTTGAGAGGAAGAGAGAGACTGGAGGAGAGAGAGATCGTCGGCCAACTTTATTTAGGCCACTCTCGTCGGCGAAAATCCACTAGATTTGTTTATCTTTGAGAGATGAGTTTGTCCATGGTAGTTTTAAGCCATTAAACAATTAGAGGAAGTAGATCGGAGTCGAAAAAAGAAAAAAATCCGATTTGATTTTGTATTTTTTTATTTTTTGTGTGTATTAAAATGATTTTTAAGGTTTTAGATGTGTTTATTGGCTTTATTTCGGTCATTTAAAGGTGTTAGGGGAAAAAATAATGTCGGAATTCAATTTTTAAGAGTCCGAAAGTCGACCATCGATTTTTCGACGAACTTCCGACGACCTCTAGTTCGTCGGAAGTTGCAAAATTTTTTTTCCGACGAGCAAGCTCGGTGCGTGAACTCGCAATGGTAGGCCCAAGTGCGCTAGCTCGCCCGCACAAGCTAACCACGCCGGCCTCCCTCAATTAATTTTTGTAAAAAAAGAATTATGTGCAGCACGGTTGCACAAGCCAACCGGACGCTTCTCTACCCCTATATATATATACACAATAGTTTTTTTTTTACTTTTTACGTGAGTTAGTCAATACATACAATAATTTTTTTCGCTTTTTAAATGTGTTATATATATATATAGTAAGAGAGAGAGAGAGAGAGAGTATATCTAATTATATTAATTTTAATTTATTGTGATTTAGCCCATTTGTTTTAATGTTTTATTATTTTTATTATTTTAAATCTATAACTTTAATTTGCCATTTTTTTAAAATTCTTATTCAATTAATTTAAAATTACATTTAATGATAGTTTCCATTTATTTTAATATTATTCATTCTTTTCTCAACCAATTAATTTAAAATTATATGGTTCTCGATTTTTTTATACAATATTTTTTTTAATTTAAAACCGTAATGGTATTATAATTTGATCTCATTTTTTTTAGTATTTTTATTATTTTTTTTATTATTTAAATTTTACTATTTTAATTTATCATTTAAAAAAAATTCTCATCCATTTAATTTCAAATTATATTTAAAAAAATTAAAATTTTTTTCAACTTTGATTTTATATATTTTTATGCATTTATATCATAAAACACATTATCAAATTAAAATAATTTTATATATTTTATCTTATCCACAAGGTAACGCGAGTAAAAAATTTAGTTTTTATACTATAAGAATAAAGTCGTTTGGAAAATGAATGCAAGCATTTGAAACTTTTTAAAACCAAACGTATATAATTTTTTAATAGCAACAAACGACAGGTTTCATTTAATGTCCAAAACTACTTTCAATTGAATCTCAAAGCTCCCTTTCTTTAATTAAAAAAATTCCATCAATTTCAAAACGGTTAGTCACAGTTAATTAAGTAAGATATGTTTTAATTATTTTTATTAACAATTAATATAATTTTAATATTTTATTAAAAATACACCAAAAATTCTTAATTTATTTTTAATAAAATATTTGTCATATTTTCGGATAAGGAAACGAGTATAATTCATAATAAGGATGTTAATGACTTGAATTTTTATTTAATGTTTCAACAATATTGCTCTAGGATGAGTTTTAGTAAATATCACATATATAATATTAAAGTACTCCACGATTATGTCCATGTGCTTAATCTTAATTGGTTTCTATGAGTGTTCTAGAAAATCAACTTTATTCTCGTAGAAAGTAATTCTACTTTCTCACTCATATAGATGTGCTTATCAAAAATGCTCTCATAACTATAATATTTTATTCAAAAAGGCTATAAACCATATTAAAATTTTTATTTAAAAAAATTTAACATCTCTTTTGTTTGAAATTCATACACGACACTTTAGAGATATACATATAAATTGTGTATGTAATCAAACTACTCTATGCTCATTTTTTCTTTGAACCTACGTTTTGAGATTTTCGGTCCCTAAGTAGGGTATCCACATAGATGATTTCATTCATTTATGGACTTAATCTCATATCTCTCGATGTATCATCAAATTCTTTGACTTTAACTAAAGATTTACTCTTAGAGTATTCAATGTATATACCAAAAGGATTAGGTAACCAACACTTATCCACTTGCTTCTTCATTGGCTTGGACTTTTAGCCAATTTAAGTTTCACCACACATACACTAGTGTATGATAATCATATTATTACTTTTTTTTGCATCATCATCATCTTGCTAAAGCATGATGACATCATTGTATTTTTTAAAAAATACGGTGAAAAACATTAAATACGATCACATTGAAGTGACTAGAGACATTTTCAATCTCTTATTTCTCGTGCAAATCGACACCATTGTATCTCATCTATATAATAAGAATGTTAATATTTACATAAAGATTTAAATTTCTCAAATTAGTACCAATTGTCTTATACAATACCATTGTATCTTAATTATATAATAGGAGTATCTCTCATTCTATTTATCGGATAATATCATCAAAATACCTTTGCTCCTTGATTGTACAATAGGAGTCTAACTAATTCTATTAATTCTCTAAAAAATAGTTGACAAATATATTACAAGCATTATTATACCTTTTGTATAATAAGAACGTTTTTGCCAAATATTCATAAGCATCATTATACCTTCTATATTGTAGAAATACTTTTATAGATACCTCTAACAACATCACATTAAAACTTACATGCAAAAAAAATAAACAACATCATGAGAGAATTATGACGAGTGTATATTGAAACACAAAATATTATTTTCTCCATCAAATATTTCATGTAATAATTTTTTTATGTATCCCAACTATTGACATATTATATATTTTCAATTAAATAGTATTTTTTTATATTCTCCTACTATTCACATAATAAATAATTTTCTTGTTACCACCGTAAACAAAATGATGATATGAATTATTTTATTATTTTGTCGATAGCATTCACAGTTTATTTCTTATGGCTTACCAATCAATAAGATATTCTTCTTTAAAATAAGATAATATATCAAGTTTTATTTTTTACATTGAAAAATGTTACATGAAAAAGCTCTTTATTAAATCATGTACCTTGCCAATTTATCTTACTAATTAATCATATGCTAACAAAATTATTATTCCAAGATTAGTATTTCCACAATTATTTATATTGTCACAATTAGATATAGTTGTCTAATATAAATTGTAATGAAAACTTCAACGAAGTCACGTAAAAATAATTAGCTTTCAAATTATAATTGATTTTAGTTATATCAATACATGATATTTCAAGTCTTAACAAATTAATCGTTTGAACTATTGTCGTGACATCTTAAATTTAATTATAGCATAAATTTTGTTCCAAATTAATTTTATTAGATAGAAATAGTCATGAAAGCTTAAAGTTTCATTTCAATAAAACTTGGGAATATATTTACTAAAACATGTCTAAAAACTTATACTTGTAAAACTTAATTTAAATATTTTAAAATAATATTTTGGTGTAAATAATGATAAATTGCCCCTTTAATTTTCTCTAATTATTTTTACAAAAATTTAGATTAAATATAAATTTATACTGATATAAAATAATCAATTTAATCCCTGTTAATTTAACAAACCATTTAAATATAAATCCTATTTAATACTTAATTTAATCTTTATCATTTAACATAGCCTAATGAAAAAGCCTAACCTTATTTTGGTTGTGCAATTCTTCCAATTTAATAGAAATCTTTTAAGATTAAAAGTTCAATTGATTAATTAATTAAAACCCTAATTTAGCTCATTGGAAGCTAAATATTTTGTTAAGCCATTTGAAAGCTAATCTTGATTTAGAAAACATTGATTTATTTAGTTACTCCATACCAATTAAACCATTTAATATTTTTTTCTTTATTTGAATTAAACCCTTTTATCAACTCAAACTCTAAATCCTGTTTTATTAAATTATTTTCTCTTATCTAACCATATAACTAACTTGCCAAAACATCAAATGAATTTATAAATATTTCAAAAATTTATTTATTTATTCACGTTCTAAATTGACAAAAGTACCTAAACCATCAAAGATGAAATAGGCCTAAACCTTGTACTACAATTACAGTATACATTTGGAAAATTTCTTTCCTTTTAGGTTTATCATCAACTTCGCACTAAGTCTTTACATATAGATGATTTACTTCAAGATAACTAGCAAGTTAACGCTCGGTAAATTAAATTAATCCCTCTAGTATTTTTTTTTTGAATTAACTAGTCTTCTTCATTTGAAAAACTAACTATGTAATTCATTAATTTATATTGATCATAATTACTTTAATATTATTTATATTTCATAAAATATATTTTTCCTCATCAATCCTTTCACATTTTTACTTATTTTTTATTTAAAAAATAAAAAAAATTAAGTTAAAATGAAATTTAAAAATATAAAGACTAAATAATTATTTTTTTAGAATAAATAGGACTAATTAATTCATTTTTGGAAACTAAGAAAACTAATTTACAGTATAATCCAGTCCACTTGGGAAGCATTCATCATAGAAATTTATTTTAGTTTTTCGCCCAACTATCCCGCCCAACTATTCTCTTTGCTTGCCAAAGTAAAAAAAGCGTCCTTCTTTCCTCCCTTTTAACATTAAAAAAATACTTCACATCTCTTGTTACTTCATGGCCGATTTCCTTCTTCAATCTGGTCCATGGCTAACTTGGTGAACTTTACTTTTCCAACCTCGTTTTCTATTGCTTTCGACAACCCTCCCCACTCCAATTTTTGATAGTTAAAACACAACTTTGCTTCAAACTCAGCCTTATTGTCAATAACAACAGCAACAGCAGCTTCACTCCTCCTAGTGGTATCGCTACCCCAAATTCCATCCTCAGTGTAGAGGCCTTCAAAGTGCTAGACGGGAATTTTCTCATTTTGAAGTTGATGCTGATATCGATGATGCTGTCTAGCTATTACGACTCTTCTAAAATCGAGCCAAATAATAACAATACCATCAGCGAGGACAAGCTTAACTTTTCTAATTAGGTTATGCCTCACTCCGTTGTCCGAACCCTTCAGAATCGAGGAGTTACTTGCATTTTCCCATTAAGTTTGCTTCTCTACAGGCGAAAAGGTAGGCTTTCTAAAGTTTTTTTCCTAGCACCTATTCAGGAGCTAGCAAAGCGAGTAGAGAGAAATTAAAGAGCCTGTACCTTATTTGAACACTGTTTGTGTTTTGGAGGAGTTTCCTTTGCCATACTGCAAAATGCTCTTTCTCGTGGGGTTGACGTTATGGCTAGAAGTCCAGGTTGAATATTTGATGTACTGTAAGATAATAGCCTCATATCGAGAGAGGTTGAATATTTGGTTCTTGATGAGGTTGATCAAATGCTTTTAATTGGATTTAAGGTGGATGCGGAAGTTATTTTTGTTAGAAAGTCTACCATCAGAGCACCAGAGCATGCTTTTCTCTGCAATAACGCCTACCTGGGTTAAAAATATGGATTAGCTATATTTTATTTTAGAAACTATGGCTGTGATACTTGATGTTGATAATGTATGGCTGCGTGTCAGGATCTCAATGGGTTAATTATGTTGAGATTTGGATCCGTCCAATTTTACTTGGACAACTATCATCAACCAGGATTAGGAATTCTTTTTAGTTTACTTTCATATGATAAACTAGGTATGCTATACTCTCATTTTTACGGGTTTACGATATGCAATAAGAGTTCAATGATACAGAAGCAAGGAGAGAATGGTATCCTTTGATAGTATTTTTCCTTAACCTGTTAAATGTTATTATTGCTAAGGAAAAAAGATATAAGCGATAGAGGGCGCAGGCACTTCTCATCTAGCTCTTTCTCCCATTCTGAAAATTATTTTGTTTTTTATGCTTTATTTCTCTAATGTTGTTTATCTTATTTCAGATTCATAGGTATTCTTAGGTTCATATATGATCATGTCTTTGGGCCATTCCCTCAGAGCCTATGTTGATCCTTGGGAGGAATGATAGTAAGTTATTTCTCATCTTCAGATTTTTCACACGCAAGTCTTCTACCATTTTCAATAAAGAACCTTATGTATCTTTTGTAGTTGTTTCCTCATCCATTCTCCTCTTTTATGCTTGTTAATCTTAGCCTCATTTGATTTTCTTTAAAGTTTCGATGTTTTACTTTTCGCGTAATGCACACCTCTGTTCATGCACTCGTTTAAGTTTTAAAGGTGGAAATTGATATGTTTTAACTTTCTAAGGTAAATGAAGTATATTGTATCGGTTGAGAAATGATCAAAAACTCAAAATCATGTGTGCTTTTAACTTTTCAAATATTAATTTGAAGTGCTAGCTACCAGATGGCTTAGATTTCCTTTTCCTACTTCTAGGACGATAAGGTAGTTGAGGTAGCAATTTTGTTCCTTAGTGTCCATGATTTGAGCTTTTAACTTATTTCTCGGGTGGTTCCTTTAGTGTTTTCATGAAGACTTTTATTTTTCAATTTGATTTAAAGGTTTTAAATTGGTTAACTCTTTACCTTTTGTAAAGCCTAGTGTTTAGGGGTTTCAAGGTTAGGGGATTTAGGGTTTTAGGGGTTCGGAGATTTAAAGGGTTATAGAGGTTCCGATTTTTATGGTTTAGAGTTTCAAGTTTGGGTTTGGGTGTTTAGGACTTAGGGATTTATGGTTTTTATGGCTTTCGATTTTAGGCAATAGGCATTTAGGACTTAGCATTAGACATTAAGCATTAGGTATTAGGACTTAGGCATTAATCATTAGGTATTTATGACTTAACATTAGGCATTAGGCATTAGACATATAGGCATTTAAGTATTGGGCATTTAGACACTTAGGCATTAGGCATTAATTATAAAGTTTTAAGCTTTAGGCTTTAGGTTTTAGGCATTAGGTATTAGACATCTAAGTATGTAGTCATTTAGGCATTAGGCATATAGGCACTAGGAATTTAGGCATTTAAGCATTAAGCATTTAGGCATTAGGCATTTAGAAATTTAGGCATTAGGCATTATGCATTTAGGTATTTAGGCATTTAAGCATTTAGGCATTAGGTAGTTAGGCATTTAAGCATCGAGGCATTTAAGCATTAGGAATTTAGGCATGAGGCATTTGACTTTAGGTATTATGCTTTAGGCATTTTGTCATTTAGATAATAAGCATTTAGGCATTTAGGACTTAAGAATTAGGCATCGGGCATTATGCTTTTAGCTTTAGACTTTAGGCTTTAGGTATTAGGCATTATGCTTTAAGCATTAGGCATTAGGCTTTAGATATACGGCATTTAGGACTTATCATTAGGTGTTTAGGCTTTGGCATTAGGCATTAGGCATTAGACATTATGTTTTAGGCTTTAGGCATTTAGGACTTATCGTTAGGCATTAGGCTTTAGGCTTTAGGTATTATGTTTTAGGCATTTAGGACTTATCATTAGGCATTAGGCATTAGGCTTTAGGCTTTAGGTTTTAGGCATTAGTTATTAGGTATTAAGCTTTAGGCATTAGGCATTAGGCACTTAGGCATTGAGCATTAGGATTTAGGCATTAAGCATTAATTATAAAGCTTTAGGCTTTAGGTTTTATGCATTAGGTATTAGGCATATAAACATTTAGGAATTTAGGCATTCACGCATTTAGACATTTAGGCATTGAGGCATTTAGGAATTAGCCTTTAGGGTCTATGGTTTAGGCTTTAAGCTTGAGGTCCGATGTATTAGGCTTTAGGCATTTAGCATTAGGCTTTAAGCTTTAGGCTTAAGGTATTAGGCTTTAGGAATTTGACATTAGGCATTAGGTATTATGCTTTAGGCTTTAACTTTTAGGCTTTAGGCATTTGGCATTAGGCTTTAGGCTTTAAGCTATAGACATTAGGCATTAGGCATTTGATATTAAGCTTTAGGCACTAAGCATTAGGCCTTTAGGCATAAGGCTTTAGGCATTAGGCATTGAGCTTTAGGCATTAGGCATTAGGCTTTAGGCTTTAGTCTTTAGGCTATAGATATTAGGCATTAGGAATTTGGCATTAAGCTTTAGGCGTTAGGCATTAGGAATTTAGGCATTAGACCTTTAGGTTTTAGGCACTGGTCATTGAGCATTAGGCATTTAGGTATTAAGTACCGAGCATTAAGCATTAAGCATTAGGCATTTAGGCATTTAGGATTTGGCATTAGGCTCTAGGCATTTGGTATTATGCTTTAGGCTTTAGCTATTAGGCATTATGTTTTAGGCTTTAGGCATTAGGAATTTAGCATTAGGCATTAGACATTAAGCATTAGGCTTTAGGCATTAGGCTCTATGCTTTAGGCATTTAGTCTTGAGACTTTTGGCATTAGGCCTTAGGCCTTAGGCATTCGCCTTTAGGTTTTAGGCATTAGGCATTAGGTATTAGGATTAGGGTTTAGACTTTAGGCATTTAGGCTTTAGGCTTTAGACATTAGGTATTTAGGCATTTAGGACTTAAGAATTAGGCATTATGCTTTAGACATTAGGCATTAGGCATTGTGCTTAAGGTTTTAGGCTTTAGACTTTAAGCATTTAGGCATTTAGGACTTAAGCGTTAAGCATTAGGCATTTAGTCATTTAAGCATTAGGCATTAGGCACTAAGCATTAAGACATTAGGCATTAAGCATTGGACTTATCATTAGGCATTAGACGTTAGGCATTAGGCATTAAGCATTAGGTCTTAGACTTTAGGCATTAGGCTTTAAGCTTTTGGCATTTATGCATTTAGGCATTAGGTGTTTAGGCATTTAGGCTTTAGGCTATAGGTTTTAGGCATTAGGCATTAGGCTTAAGGTTTTAGGCTTTAGGTGTTCGGTATTTAGGAATTAGGCATTTAGGACTTAAGAATTAGGCATTAGGTATTTAGGCGAGTGGGCATTACGCTTCGGGCATTAGGTATTAGGCATTTAGGACTTAAACGTTAGGTATTTAGACATATCATTAGGCATTAGGCATTTAGGAATTTAAGCATTTTGGCATTTAGGCTTTAGGTATTAGGCATTCAGCATTTTGGAATTTAGGCATTTAGGACTTAAGCATTAGGCATTAGGCATTTAGACTTATCATTAGGCATTTAACCATTTAAACATTAGGCCTTAAGCATTAGGCTTTATACATTACGCATTAGGATTTATGTATTATGCATTAGGCTTTAGGCATTAGGCGTTTAGGCTTTACGTATTAGTCTTTAGGCGTTTAGCCTTTATGCATTAGGCATTTAGGTATTAGGCAATTAGGGCTTAGCATTAGGTATTAGGCTTTTGGCTTTAGGTTTTAGGCATGAGGCTTTGAGCATCGGGTGTTAGGCTTTAGGCATTAGGTTTTAGGCTTTAGGAATTAGACGTTAAGCATTAAGTTTTAGGCTTTGAGCATTAGGCATTCGACATTAGCTATTAGATATTAGGTCTTTAGGCATGTAAGACTTAAGAATTAGGCATTAGGTGTTGTGGTTTAGGTATTATGCATTAGCTATTAGGCATTATGCTTTAAACATTGGGCTTGAGGCTTTAGGCATTTAAGACTTAATTGTTACGCATTCGACATTCGGATTTATCATTAGGCATTAGGCTTTAGGCATTTAAGTGTTTAGGCATTTAAGTTTTAGGCTTTCAGCATTTTAGAATTTAGGAGTTAAGCGTTAGGCATTAGGCCTTTAGACTTATCGTTAGGCATTTAGAATTATCATTAGGCATTTAGGAATTTTGGCATTTAACATTTTGAAATTTAGGACTTAAGCGTTAAGCATTAGGCCTTTAGACTAATCGTCGAGCATTTAGACTTATCATTCGGCATTAGACTTTAGGCATTTAGGAATTTACGCATTAGGCATTAGGCATTTAGGCATTAGGGATTAGGCTTTGCACATTAGGCATTAGGCTTTAGGCTTTAGGCATTAGATATTATGTATGTAGGCTTTAAGCTTTAGGCTTTAGGCATTTGGCCTTAGGCGTTAAGCGTTAGGCTTTAGGCATTTAGGTATTATGCATTAGGCATTAGTCATTAAGCATAATGCTGTAAGCATTTGGCATTTAAGCATTCGACATTGGGCTTTAGTCATTTAAGACTTAAGCGCTAGGCATTAGGCTTTAGGTTTAGGCTTTTGGCTTTTGGCATTAGGAATTAGGTATTTAGGCTTTTAGGCTTTAGGCTTTAAGGTTTAGACATTAGGCATTAGGTATTATGCTTTAGACTTTAGGCATTTTGGCATTTAGGACTTAAGCATTAGGCATCTTGGTATGTAGGCATTTAAGAATTCAGCATGTAAGCATTTACGCATTTAGGCCTTAGACATTAGGCATTAGGCTTGAGGCATTAGGCATTAGGCCCAAGATCTAACCATGTTTGAATGAGTTTGAGTTAATGTATTATTGTATTATTTATTTTAATAATAATAAATAATTCATTATATTGATTATTGTGTTTTATGTTTGTAAATTCAATAGAATTGATAGAAGTCCTTATGATATGCATTTTCAATAGTGATTGATCGAAAGATGTGAGATAAATATTAATGTATATAAATGATATCGTTAAACGTCTCAAGTCATAGATGTATTGATCAAGATCATTGAAACATAGCATATGCATGCTTCTATGTGTTTAGCTTAATGCCTAATTAATTTGCTTGATGATTGATGCTTAAAATTTTGCTCATGCTTGTAACTACCGATGAAAAGCCGGGCGCGTCAAGACGCGTCGGTTTTGTTGCTTGAAACTATTGCTTCAAGACAAGCTTATTTCGTCGACGAAACTACTACGTCCTTTTATTTTAAAAATCACTTAAGGACACATTAATTATGATTTATGCTTGAATTAAGGGACTTGATAACATAGATTAAACAAATTAGAGGGACTTACCTTTTTCTTGAGTGAATGGGAATCTAGGTGTCACCATCATGCTTTGCACGGGTGTCTTGGCCAATGAGGTGTCATCCTCTAGAATTTTTAAGCATTTTTTTTATGCATGACTGGCCTATATAAAGGAAGAGCGAGGCCATGACTGGATTATTTTGGCCATTTGAGACTTCTACAAGAGAAAGGAGAGAACTACTTTGAGTAGGAGCATCTGTAACTTAGAGAGTTGCTTGCCATTTTTTAATTTGAGTTGAACCAAGTTCAAAGAAGGTCTATTATGGTTTATTGTAGCATTTTCCAATCTCATAACTCTATACTAAGTAAGTGTAATCCATTTCAACTACACTACAAGACCTAGGTTTAGGCATTCTAGACATGTTGAGATTGATTGTTGCTATGTTTGTTTCGTTGAATGAAAAGAGGTTAAAACTTGATGCATGTGGACTTAGAATTGACCACTAAGCTTAGAATTGCCATGTAAGCCGTAAATAAATGTAGCTTGTACTTGGTGTGCCTTTGTGGCTAAATAGAATGCTTGAATTTTCTTGGCTCGTATTCGTCGAAAAAGCTTGGATGGTATTATGTCGAAAATGCCTAGTTTATGATTCCGTTGAAATTGCTTGACTTGTGATTACGCCAAAATCGCTTGGCTTATATGTTTCGACAAAATTACCTTGATGAGTTGTAACATGTCTTAGATTAGCTTTAATGCGTAGAGATTCTTAGCACGCTTATGTTAGCTGAATGTATTGACGATATTTGGTTGCTTAAGCATTAAAAGACATGTATTCATGACATGACACGGCATAGCATTGATTTTCGTGACTCATGTTTTAAGCAAGAAAAGAAATGTGCATGAACATGGAAATGTCACCCTTGGGAATGATCCGGTGTATACTCAAGGGCTAGTCCTTGACTATAGGGGTAAGCAAACGGTTAAATGATTCGGTTAAGCTTAATTCGATTCGGTTTTTGGTTAATCGAATTAGGAAAAATGAAAACCAAAATCAAACCAAATTAAATTCGATTAATTCGGTTTATAACTGAATTATTTCAGTTCCGTATCAAAATAATTCAGTTAGAACCAAAATTTTATTTCTATGAGCGATTTTTATTTTTGTGGTATCAAAAACTAATTTACTATTAAAAAAATGTAACAAGTACATGCTAAAATGGTTTACATGTCATTTTTCTTATTACTTGTTTTCGTATGAAGGAAGGACAATGTTAGAAAGTCTTATATAAATGATAGAAGAATTCAAAATTCAAAGTCCATTGAAAGTTGACAAAAACAAGGAAAACTAATAGCACTAAAATTTCCCATATAGTGCTGAAATTAGAAAAAGATAATACACCAAATACAATTGAAAGCTTATACAACATATATTTTGAAAGAGTTGAATTCTGAAAGTTTCGGTAGCATATCGAATGCTAAAAATATATGAAGTCTTATCACGTTTATTTACGATTCTTCTACCAAAACAATGCCTAAAGTTGTATACAAATATATATATAACTTTGTGGTTGCATAAAGTGTCAACTATAATGAACAAGTAATCAATCATAAGATTTTAACAAACTTGATCCATAAAGAGCAAGGAATGCCAAAACTGCAATGGTTCAAGCTCAACCCACTCACCCACTCAAACAGTTCTCTATAAGTCTGCAAGGAATGAAGAATTACAAGAAGGAAGAGTGAAGGAAAGATTTATCTAATAATCTTTACTCATAACAAAGCTATTTTGTAAATTTTTGAGTAAGCTATCATAGTAAGTTTTGAGAAAGAGTAGAAGACCGTAATAGCATTGAATCCTTGTAACCCAAATCTTATGGTGGGATATTATTCTCATGACACAAAAATATCTAAGTGAAGCAGCAGTTACCTTGTGGAGTATGCGGTGAAGAGCTGGATCATGAAGCTTTGATCGATGGCTGCGACATTAAAGCAAAAGCAATGAATAAATAAGCCAAAAAGAAAAGGTATATGTTATAAATTGTAGCACTACGACCTACAAAGCCAACGATACGAGTGTTGTAAAATTGCATCAGCAAAAACATTTATGGATGTATCTACATCCGTAAGGCATCTTTGAATCAGCTAGTTTCAGGACACGTACTCTAGATGCGGATAAGGCCACCTCATCGAAGCCATTCGATCATTATATAGATTTGCACCGTAATTCATGTTTTGATCAAATCCTAACAAAGCACCTCCTTCCATTTCGTTTACTTGGTTACTTTTTAGAAAAGCATCTACAACCAGGTGATGTATCCGTATAGTAACAATTTACTCTTGGTTATTAACAATCAAAGCCAATTAGCATCTCCTCATATCACACGCCCCACCCCGAAGAAAAGGAGAGAATGAGGGGGAAAAAGAAGAAAAAAAAACTCGAACCTTTAATTCCATAGAAACTTTCGTACATGCTCCAGGGTATGTTAGAATAGGTTGTTGGACCTATTTCAGAACAACTAGTAAGTTAACAAACAACAACAAAAGAAACATATAGTATTGCTAAAGAAATTAGAAAATCTCATAGCTTACCGGAAACAAGTTCCACTTTTCTTGCTAAGGAAAACATAACGATCTCAAGATTTCAATAATTTAGGGGTTTGCTCGATTTTGTTTACAATTGTTTGGAATTAACCTCATCGATAAAACATGTAGATTCTTCACAATTACCTCCTAAATCTTGAACACCATCATCGGATATCCAAAACACCTGTGAGAATCAATATGTTTAAGCTGGGATGGAAAAAATTATAACACGATTTAAACATACAAAAATAACTCTTGAGTGATGGAAATAAATGACTTCAATTTTGGCTAATTGGCCACCATCATGACAAATACCAAGCATTGCCTAAGTTAGAGACACCGAAGATCACCTTAGGACTTCTATGCTTGATCTAATGGCATTCAGCTGATTTTTTGAATTGTTCTAGGCATAGATCTTACAAGATCTGCATTAAATGTGCATGTGAAATCTCTAAAATTTGCTATATGATCCGTCATAATAGAACAAATCCTAATCATCCAAAAAACAACAAATTGAAGTCTAAAATTATGAGGAAACTAAACAACTCATCTAAAATCAATAAACTCATGGATAAAAAGAATGAATCATACCGACTGCGACCGTACGCAAGTAACCGGTAGGCACTAGGTAGAAGCGGATGCACCGGACGCACTGCAGGCGGTTGACGCGAGCAACCAAAAGGCGATAGGTAGAAACACCGGAAGGCACTAGGCGGAACCAAATACGCGAGAGATGAGAATGAGAGTGACTAAGTTTGCTCGTTGTCGGCTTGTTGGAATGTTAGGCCCCGGTCGTTGCGTGACTTCGTATGCGTCAAAAGGAAAGGAAAGTCGAAAGAGGCGACTAAAGGAGACGAGGAGAGAGAGTTACCGAGTTAGGCTTATAGCTTATTCTTAGGTATTTAGAAATTAGAATTAGGAATAATAAAAAAAATGATTTTTGGTTCACATCATTTCTTAAAAAAATCGAACCAAAATTATTTCGATTTTTCGATTCGGTTATAAATTATATATTTTTTAATTTATACCCAAACCAAAATTTCATAATTCGATTCGGTTTAATTCGATTTTTGATTAATCGAATCGTTTGTTGACCCTCGATTGACTAGATATTGTCTACTTCCATAGATTTCAAGGTTTTAAAAGAGAGTCGGATCGGACATTCGACAGGACATGTTCGAAAGACGGAAAATGTATTTCTTCATGAAAATATGCTTTCATAAACTCATGCATGATTACACTTGCTGATCGTGAGCTCATTTCTTTATGTCTTATGGTGTAGGTGACCGCAATGATGCTTGCGAGTAGGTCGCTACGAAGATGGTGTTCGTTGGACGCTTTTGGAGTTTGTCGAAAGGTGTACTTTTGTCTAGGCATTTAGATCATAGGCTATGTCTAGTATGTTTATGTGTCATAGCATAATTTCATTTGTAAATGTTGAATGTAAACGACCTTACGGCCAAGAACGACATGTGAAATGTTATTTTAAATGAAATGAAGTATTTTTCCTAAAGTTTGTGTTCCTTATGTTTATGTTGCCTTTAATGTTTTGGTATTCCCACGTAAAGCATTCATAATGTTGTCACATATTTGGACCTTTAGTTTTCGCTGCGCATTCATAGGACGAGTAAGTTGTCATGAATTGCGACGGACTAAGGATACCACGGAGGCAAGTCGCTTAGAGCGGCTTGCGTCAATGAAATTCTAAGTCGCAACGTAACTTTTACGTCGATAAAAAATTTTTAGATACGAATTGAGTTTTTAAGTGAGATTTCAAGCCAAATGTCTTCCGTCGTGCATTGCATGTGTCACACATGGTTTCGGGTCTTAAGAGAACTACGGGCATTCGACGAACACCAAACATGGCCACACGAGCCCGGCCTTTGTTGGCCGCATGCATTGCAGTACTGCGTCTAGCGATCCGTGAATATTTGATGTTGTTGTAGCGCTCTAGCCTCCTTCTATATGATATCGGTAGGAGATCTCACACCTATTGACGTGTTAGTGTCAAAGCAAGCGCTTAGGTGATTCATGTTAGAGAACATATCACCTGGACTTTACTCGCTATGAGAACCCATTTGGTTTTAGTCTATGGGAATCTTATACAAAATGAGTATAAATGGTCCTTAAACTTGAAGTATGTGATTAAGATAGAATATGTTATTTCTTGTATGCTAAAGGAGTTATCACATTGCACTTCGATAAATATCTCGCTGAGAAATTTGTAGCCACAATAGGAGTACACTAATAGAATATAGTTGGTCTACTCGTGAGTTAAGACATTTGAGAGTAAAAAAAACTTATGTGATCATAATCGAGTAAGACTTATAACCAAGTTCGAGATCACATTATGATAAGTTGACATGATGACCGAGTTACATGATAATCATGCTCGTAAAAAGTAATAATAGATTAATTAATCATTTTAGAGAATTGGATAATCGTGATGCCTTGCTAGAGACCAATCTTGATTTATGTATCAACGAGATAAAAGAAGAGTCTTTTGTTCTTTATACATTGCCAACATATCTAGGAGCCTATTGAGTCACGGACATAAGTTTAAGTATCACATGATGAATAAGAAGCAAGGATATTGGAAAAGGCTTTCAATTTTGAAAGTTTTTTGTATTGAAAAGGGTTTCCAAAATGAAAAGTTTCATTAAATGAAAAGTTTCCTTAATTAGGAAGTTTCATAAAATGAAAAGTTTTCTATTTTAGAAATCAGTTTCCTAATTTGAAGGTTTGTTCCAAATTTGAAAATAAATAACCTATAATGGAATGAGTTTCTTAATTTAGGTTAAATGGTATTTTAGAAAATTATTTCCTAATGTGGACCCACATAAAATAATCTAAGATTATTTATTTGGATAGTCCGAATAAATTAATTGAGCCGTAATGGTTTTGACCCTTTAGGTTCAATTAAAAGCTTTAAGATATTTTGATGGGGGATAAACATCAACCTTATTGGATAAGGATGAATGTTTTAAAGATAAAGATCAAAAAGTCCATATGTGATATAACTCATAATCCTTGGATAATAAGAAAGCAACAACTTAGAGTCCTTAAAGGGACTTATTTTGTTGCCACTCTCCTTGTCTTTAGCGATAGTGAGGATAAGAAAACCGTCCTATAAATATATGAGAGATAGTGAGGTGCGACATAGAGATATATAAGGAGATAAAAAGAAAAAAAAGGATTTTTGGCTAGAATAAAAAAGCCATTATGGTAGGACACACGGTTGAATAAGAAAAAAGGAGAAAATAGTTTTCTTCAAAACCTTAGCATGTCACACTCTTTCGTTCTTCTTTAAGGTTTTCATAAAATTACGTGAAAAGGATTTTAATAGGAAACGAGTACACAAATCATAAATGATGGAGCTAACACCCTATCAATTTTAAATGCTTCTTTGTGGGTATGTGGATTGCGTGGATTATCAATAGAGACCGAACATTTGGACGACCGTTCGATAAAAGAATTTAGATTTGCGCTACAAGAGGTAATTCTCTATTCATTGCTTTAAATTCATGCATGTATGGTTAATGGATTCAGCGGCTTGATCTTGGGCTCATAGATAGAGAAATTTTTTGTATTTATTCCGCACCTCCATATGATTTATGATCCTCCAATTGATATTAGAGCCTTCATTGAATTTTTAATCGTAGGATTTTATTAATTATGATTAACTCGTATAAAATTAGTTATGCTTAATTATAAATCATGTGTTTTTGGTATTTTATATTTTATAAAATTGAATTTTAGGTCAAAATCAATGGAGGCACGTAAGGTCGACGTTGGATATTGATGCTCGTGCACATAACAATCCCATCTGGCCGGTTATGCGCTGGGAGTATGACAGTGACTTGTTAGCTCGCTGTGCCGCTTACGATAGGCACAAGGCCCAAAAAGGATTTAAAATTAAAGTTATTTTTTTTTTGATAAATTTATAAAATGCCCAAAACCATTGATTTATAATTGTTTTATGAATGAAATGTGTTTCATTAGTATGCCATGTATCAATGTGATTGAAGTATGAGTGAATGATATGGATGGGTTGATCTAGTTTTATGAGTGATTACTTTTAATTTTTTTGAATAAATAGGACATGCGTGTCCTACATTCTCTATTATTCTATTGTATTTCTCTTCTCATCTTACTCTCCTTGAATGTAACATGAGGTTTCTTATTTCAAATAAATATAAAAGTAGAAGATAAGAATTAGAATAGATATAAGGAGATGATACCAAGGAATGAAGACATTCATGAAGAATTTGTAATAATTTTTCACTTAGGAATTGACCTATTAGTCTCCTTGTGGTTTGAGGGGGCTACTACTTGAAATCCATTACCATTTACCAGTCTTTGAATCATACATGAGATGTATGTATGTTATGAGGTCAATATTAGTATGCATCTTAAGAATAATATGATTATTGTTTAGTATGATGATAGGATGAGACCAACCATATTAAATCATTCAAATAAAATATTAAATTAATTGATTTCTAACATTATAAGGCATGAACTTTTGGTCGTTGTTGGCTTATTGAGATAACTCAAAGTAACTTCTTCCTCGAGGGAAACAAATCATGGGCCATGCGATGTCTCCGAACATTGGGTTTAACTTAAATGAGTTGTTGGGTTTGTTGAGATAACTCAAGGTCCAATAAATCATAAGGAAGGAT